TTAATGATGTTGCTGTAGAGCTGGATTTAACTAAAATCTTGAGGAAATTGCATTCTGTGTTTCATTTCAGCCTCCTAAAAAAGGATTCTAGTTCCAGCGAGTGGTGTCCTGCAGCACCGGTGCCCCCTCCAATCATGATTGAGGGCGAGGAAAATTACGAGATCTCTAGAATTTTTGGACTTTACGCTCAAATGTGGAAAATTGTTGTATCTGGTGGAATGGGTAGATTTTGGACCCCAGCACCTGGAATAGGTGGAATTAGGGGATATTCGACCCCCTCGTCTGTTACGTCAGTTCCATCAGGACTTCCCGGACAAACCAGGGAATCTCCCGGAATGACTTGGAGACCTCCCGGAATGGGCGGGAGATCTCCCGGAATGGGCAGGAGGAGTTGTCTTTGAGAGGGCAGTATGTCAGCTATGCTGCCATGGGGGTTGGGATGTTCTTTCAGTGTCTGTGTAAATGGCTTTTGCATTCCTTTCTCTCTTGCTTTGCGTTGAAATGCTTATCTCTTAAGAAGTACAGGTGGCCAGCCGTGGAAGCCGAAATCCATGCCGAACGTGGGAGCTGAACAATTCTCAGCTTCGCCTAGTAACGCTTGCCGGCGGGTGCCTAATTGGCCAGCGCAGTGCATACGAATGCCCTATATCTCATTAGGTTCAAGAGGCAACCGCTATTCTTAACAGTGACTATGTTAATGCATCTATGGCTCTTCAATAAAAGTATAACCTTTCTAAAGAAGTATGTACTCCGTTGTTGGCTGTGGCTGCCTATAGCGTATCGGATTCGGTTCAAGGTGCTGGTGCTAACCTTTAAAGCCCTACATGGTCAGGGGCCTGCCTACTTGAGGGACCACCTCTCCCCATATGTGCCCCAGAGAGCACTGCGGTCAGGGTCGCAACTGTCATAATCCTGTCTCTCCCCTAGACCAATCCAGGAATGGAAAGGGAAAGGATCATGGACTGGGACAAAGTGAGCTCCCGGAGGACATCAGGGCCCTGCAGGACCTTTTACAGTTCCGCAGGGCCTGTAAAACGGAGCTCTTCCACCAGACTTTCGATTAGGGGCTGCCACTGATAAGTGTGCCCTGGAACACCCTCGGGCATGAGATTCCACTGGATGGGATTTGGATTATCACCATTTCTGTTGGGTTAATTGCAACTGGTGTTGTTTTAACGGGTATGGTATTTATTAATTGTTTTAATTTGGTTGTTTATGCCATTTTAATGTTGTTAGCTGCCTTGAGCCAGATATCTGGAAAGGTGGGATGTAAATATAAACAATAAATAAATAAATAAAAAATACTACCCTACCAAAAATGGAAAAACAGTTCAAGGCAGGTGATGGTCAATACCTGTATCCAGCAATGCCCAGTAGAATCCAGATGGCTTCAAGTAGAAACAAAGAATATTTGAATTGTAAAAGCACTTCAGGTGCATATGAATACTTTCCATAATCTGATAATGGTCCAGATCCAATTTTTCCCATACACGTACCCAATTCCCCTCCATAGTACAACCACCATCCCACATGGCTCTTGTACAGGCAGGTCCAACAATCTCCACTGTAGCATTTTCATCAGTAGAAAAGCTGGTTGGATCAAATCCAATGACAATTAGATTATAAGAGAAAAGATATCATAAGAGATAAAAGCTACATCTAGTGTGGTGTAGTGGTTAAGAGTGTCAGACTAGTATCTGGGAGACCCAGGTCTGTTGGTAGACAGGGTGAAGACAGGGTGAAATTAATTTATTTTTTTTTTAATGGTGGGGATCTTAAGGGGAAGTGAGTGACCATGTCCCCAGTGAGTTGCCATGTCCCCTCAAGTTCCTTTTGCTTGTGGGGGGCCAAGGAAGTTTGTAGCCAGATGTGTAAGATTTTAGTAGGGCAGACTTTAATGAACTCAGGGGTATGATAAGAATAATTCCATGAGCAGAATGCTGGAAGGGAAAGGAGCAAGTAATGGGTGGGCTGTCCTAAAACAAGCGCTCTTGCAAGCTCAGCCCATCACTGTTCCAGCAAGACAGAGACATGGTAGGGGATCCAAGAAACCAATGTGGATGAACAGGGAACTCCATGATGAACTAAGGAAGAAAAAAGGAAATGCTGAAGAATCAGAGGGAAGGGCATACCTCTAATGAAGAGTATCTGAGTGTTGCTAGGCACTGTAGATCAGCCATAGGAGAGGCCAAAGCACTGGCTAGGGGGCTCACTACAACAAGAAAAGTTTTTTAAGACATGTGAGGAGCAAACACAAGGTTAAAAAGGTGACAGACCCGCTGTTGGGTGAAAATGGACACACTCTGACAGAGGACAGAGAGAAAGCAGAAAGGCTCAGTGCCTATTTTACTGCAGATTTCCCCCTGAACAACAGAGCGGTGGTAACCACCGCTTTAAAGTTAAAAAATGGTGGTAAGCAAGGCATGGTGTTTGGGCTGCTGGTTCACATCAACATTTGTGATTATGTCAAACTGTACATAGTTGAATGTTCAAATATATATTCCTTAAAATTATATATATATGAGAACTAGTAACAAGCAGCAATTTTATAATTACCAACAAATATTTTTAAATACGTTTTGAGATAAGCCAAAGTCTCCTTATACCATTTGTCTTATGATATTTGAAAAAAAATGTGCTGAGTAACCCATAAAAGGAAGCCATTTGTCTAATAAATTAGAATTATAGTAACCTGAAGTAGATTCAGTGGTTGAAACATGATCAGCTATTTTGTCCATGGTGATAGAACTTGAGAGATATGCTATCCTAGATAGGTTGCTATATTTGCTCCAAGGGTTCTGATGGAACCCTAGAAAATATGCTGCTATCTTAAGAGTTTTGTGCTCACAAAGAGAAATTATTGCACCTTATGTTCTTTATATATATCACGGTCTTTGAAAAAGATTGTATCTGAAACAGGTAAATTACTAGAATCTGGTGGGAGTAGAGATTGTGAAACTGACAAGGTGCTGTCAATATTTGAACAGAATGTAAACCTGCACTTTGATGTGTTTTTGGGTGAAACCTGTTTTTGATAATATTTGACACTAATATTTATATAGCAATACAGAAAATTTTTAAAAATAAAATAAAAAGCACAAAATTGAACTACCTTAAACATACATTTCTTATACACAGTGCTATATATTTTTGCATATCTTCCTAACACTGTGACCCTCAGTTTTTGTATTTCCCACCTGGAGGCTGGCAACCTTACTGGGTAGCGGAAACAAGAGCTTGGGTTAGAGGAGCAGTCAGCGTGATGGAGCGGCAAAAATGGCTAATGCAGTCTTTGGGTGCATTGACAGAGAAATAATATCCCAGTTGCAAGATCTCATAGTCTCACTGTACACTACATTGGTCAGACTGCACCTGGAGTAGAAGAGGAGATTGGATTTATACCCCACCCTTCTCAGAGCGGCTTACAAACTCCTTTCCCTTCCCCTCCCTACAACAGACACCCTATGAGGTAGGTGGGGCTTAGAGAGCTCTGACAGAAACTGCTCTTTTTCAAAAATAGCTCTGACAGAACTATGGCTTGCCCAAGGTCATCCAACAGGTGCAAGTGGAGGAGTGGGGAATCACCTAGTTCTCCCAGAGTCCACACATTTAACCACTACACCAAACTGGCAGTTCTGTGTGTGCAGTTCTGGAGGACTCACTTAAAAAAGGATGGGGATAGAACAGAGCAGGTGAAGAGAGTGACAAGAATGACCAGGGGCTTGAAGAACAAGCCTTACGCGGAAAGGCTGAGAGATTTGGGAATGTTCAATGTGGAGAAGAGGAGGTTCAGGGAGGACATGATTGAACTCGTTAAGTATTTGAAAGGCTGTCACTTAGAGGAGGGCAGGGAGCTGTTATTGTTGCCAGCAGAGGACAGGACTCACAATAACAGGTGTAAATTACAGGTGAAAAGATAGCACCTGGATGTTTTTTGTTTTTTTTTTACAATAAGAACAGTTCAGCGGTGGAATCCTCTGCCTAGGGAGGTGGTGAGCTCCCTCTCACTGGCAGTCTATAGGCAGTGGATGGACAAACACTTTTCAGGGATGCTTTAGGCTGATCCTGCATTGAGGAGGTTGGACTAGATGGCCAGCCCCTTCCAACTCTATGATTCTAAATTCAGATAAATGTGATGACTTTGGAGATCTCTAGAAAATGGATATTCATGCTATTTAAATATATCAATTTTAACTGGTGTTCAAATTTCAATGATGTTTTTCTTATGAATCTTCTTTTACAAACTCAAAATTTAATTTTTGCTCTTCAGAAAACTTTAGTTTTCCATGCAACAGTCGCACAACTCTCCCAACCTGTAATCTGGCTACCACCTGGAGACAAAAATGTATCTTTGTTTGTTTGTATTTGACGACAAAGGGACAGCAGTGTTAATTTTAAGGGGTTTTTGTTATCTTTTCTCAAACAGGAAGTGCTAGAAGAAACCCGGAAGTTCCTTTTGAGAGACCTCGGAAGTTATAATTCACGCGCTTGAGTCCAGAGAGACTACAAAACTTTTTAATTGGGACGGGGATGCCCTGAAGCCTATCCGCCTCGCCGGAAACGGATAGGCAGGAAGTCACTTCTTACTGGTATCTCGGGATACTTAGAGATATCCGGTATAGAAGCTTCCAGCGGCCGGAAGTACGTCGTAATGCTTTAAGACCATCCGTTAGGAAGGAGGCGGTTGTTCCGGCCTCTGGAAGTTGGGATTTGGGCTCGAAGTCTTCTGGTCGCGATGTCCGGAAGGACGCTGGATGGAGCTCAGAGAGTGGATGGGAAGATGGGAGGGACAGAGGGGCTCGCAGTTGCCCCTGCCTCGCCTGGGTGAGTGGCTCAAGGAGTTTCTCTTCAGAACTCGCCCGTATTCTGGTCGGGAGACGCTCGAGGGCTGAGTTGGGCTCCGGCGCGTGCCAGTATCGGGTTCGAGACGTTTCGCGAAGCCCAGCCTCCGTCGCCGGGCCCTCGCGGTGGACCTGTAGACAGCGCCCTGTAGTGGCGGCTTCTCGCGAGTCGGCTGCGCAGGGAGGCCTTTCGCGGGCTCCCTCTAGTGGCTCCTTTCTGCAGTCGAGCTCGCAGAACCCGCTTTTTGCCCTTGCGGGAAGGAAGTGCGTGGCTTTCAGCCTGGTCCTCGGGGAGGGAGTGGACCGCGGCGGAGCTCTTCTGCTGTTGAGGCACAGAGCGCGAGAGTTGCGCGACTGAAGCCCAGGCGAGGAGAGACGTTTCGGGGCCGGTTGAAATCATAGTACTCAAAAACATGGAGGGTTTGGTTTCCTTTCATGGTGTCCCAGAATCTTTGTCCTGAGGAGGCAGGGGCGGCCTCATTCGATTTATAGATTCAGGTGGGTGGCCGTGCTGGTCTGAAGCAGAAGTGAGTTTGAGTCTTTGAAGAAGTGTGCGTGCACACGAAGGCTTAGACCCAGAATAAAACTCTGTTGGTTTTAAAGATGCCACTGGACTCAGACTTTGTTTTCATTTGAGTTATTGTAATTGGGATGGCCTATTGTTATTGTTATTATTTTTGGATTTGTTGTTATTATATTGATGCCTTGGACACATTTATTTGTGTAGTAACTTCATTTATACCTTGGCTTTCTTCTCAATAAGGAGCCACTGTGGCTTACTTGTTCTCCTCAGGTGGGTTAGGTTGAGAGCGTGTGACTGGTCCAAGGTTATCCAGCAAGTTTCCATGGCAGACTGGGGGGGGGGGTTTTAAACCTGGGTCGCTGGCAGACTGGGGGGGGGGATTTAAACCTGGGCCTCCCATATCCTAGTCCAACCCTAACCCCTTGTACCACACTGGCCACTCCCAAAATAAGGGTATTTGCACTGCCATGGTTTGAGATCATCTTTGGAAGAGCAAGACTGGATCACGGCAGCTCACAAAATAAACAATACAATAAAATTACAAAAAGCAACATAAGAATTATTATTAATAACTATTTTTTACTATCTATAGACTGACTCTCTTACTGAGAGTCAGGGGTGATTACTAAAATTGATGCAGTGAGAATTGATCCAGTGAGAAGATATCCAATGGACAATGCAACAGGATTGGGGTTACACAAATATTAGAAAACAGTTGAAAAAAGTATGAAACGTAAAACATGAAACAATGCAGAAAATGAACTTACAAGAGTTGAATACAGTGCAGTAGGAGCAAGTTATTGTGGCCTTTAGACTACAAGCCTTTTTCCTTTTGAACAGTTCCTGTTCCACTATACCACTTCCCTTTTCTTTTCATACCAATGCCTTCCTAACAGTTTTGTTTTACACAATCTGTAGTGTGATTGAAATGTGGGTACCTTCCTGACTGCTCAGGCAGGCCGTTCCATAAGGTGGGGACCTGCAACAGGAAGTGCTCAGGATGGGTAGCTGCTGATGTGGGTCCTAAGGCATGAAAGATTTTTTAGGCGATAGTCAATATACAACAATAATGTATTTAATGATAATACATTATTAAAGAGTTCAGCATTGTAAAGTTTATCTTAATAGACAAACAGGCTGATACTCCTATTGTGGCTCTACAAGAGAGTTTCTTTCCAAATAATACACTTCATGTTTACTTCAGAATATGTTTACTGCCTTCAAAATGAAGAAGAAGAAAATGATACTCTTAAGCTGCTTTGAGTCCCTATTGGGGAGAAAACCACAGTATAAAATAAGTAAATGTTAGACAACTGTTCTACTTTAGTAGAGGGGACAAATGGCTTGTGCCTCATGCTTCATCCTTCAGAGTAACCATGGACTGAGTGTGCTTAACTTTGTTTTAAGGGAAAATGCCGTAACCCACCTGCTTCCCATGTGCTCAAAGGCTTGTATATGATTCATTCATACACACTTACACACACAGAGACCATTTGTTTATTTTACAGTGTTTATGTCCTGCCTGATCAGGGAATCTATACCAGTTGAAGCTTCTGAACACTTTTCAAGGGCAGCCCCATATAGAGCACATTGCAGTAATGTAATCTAGCTGTTACCAGGGCATGCACCACAGTGGCCAGATCTTTTCTGCCCGGGAAAGTTTACAGTTGGTTAACCAGTTGATGCAGGTAAAAGGGACCCTTGAACACTTGCTTATCCAGCAGTACACCTGGGTCCAGTTGGACCCCCAAGCTATGTACCTGTTCCTTCAAGGGAGGTACAACCTCATTCAGGAGACATCTGAAATCCCATGTCTGCCCTTTCATCTTATTGGCATCAGACTCCAGTTTATTAGTCTACATCCATCCCAAAACTGCCTCCAGACTCTGGATCACAGTTTTGTAAAGCCTCTGTGGGATCAATCAGAAGTGTGAGATAGCACTGACAACATATTGGTGAAAACCCAGCTCAGATCTGCAGATGATCTCATGCAGTTGCTGAAGAGCACAAAGGATAAAATCGTGTGGGACTCCAGCAGCCAAGAAGCTGAGCAGCATTCCTCTAGCCCCACCTTCTGAAACCTACCTTTGATGTAGAACTGAAACCATTGCACAGCAGTCCCAGCTCCAGAAGTAATTCCAGAGGGACACCATGAGCAATGTTATCAAAAGTTTCTGAGACATCCAGGAAGATCAACAGGGTTGTACTTCCCTGTCCATCTCCCAGTACAGATCACCTAAGGATATTTCAGTCCCATACTCAGGCCTGAGGCCAGGCTTGAAGGATACAATTAGTTCACTTCATCCAGGAAACTTTGGATTTGTTCATATATTACCCATTTAATTACCTTGTTCAGAAATGGTAAATTACAGACTGGTAAGTAACTACACAGCATTCCAAATAAGGCTGCACCATAGATTTTTACAGAGCCATTATGATATTGGCTGATTTGTTTTCAGTCCTCTTCCTAATAATCCCCAGCATAGCATTTGCCTTTTTTATTGCAGTCGCACGCTGAGTCAACATCTTCAGTGAGTTATCTACCACAACTCCCAAGATCTCTCTTCTGGTCAGTTACCACCAGTTCAGACCCCCATCAACTTATATTTATAAGTAGGATTTTTTGGTTCAATATGCATTACTTTGCACTTGTCCATACTGAACCTCATTTGCCATGTTGATGCGCACTTGCCCAGTCTTGACAGTTCCCCCTGTTTCTCACAGCCCTGAACAGCTTAATATCATCTGCAAATTTAGTCACTTCACTGCTTACTCCCAACTCAAAATCATTAACAAAAAAGTTAAAAAGCACCAAACCTAGTACCGAGCCCTGAGATACCCCACTGCTTACCACTTTCCACTGTGAAAACTGTCCATTTATACTGGCTCTGTATCCTGTTACCGTATTTTTCGCTCAATAAGACGCACCTGACCTTAAGACGCACCTAGTTTTTAGAGGAGTAAAACAGGAAAAAATATTCTGAACCAAATAGTGTAATAAAATATTTAATAAACTATAACAGAATAACATTTGAACCATGTAAAGCCCCAGGGTGTGCCAGGAGTGTTCAGGAACTGGAATGACAGGGCCATGGAGTGGAATGACAGCCCCAGGGTGGAGCAGGAGTGTTCAGGAACTGGGATGACAGGGCCAAGAGTGGAATGACAGCCCCAGGGTGTGCCAGGAG